TGGGTGGACCCATCTATGGGTGGACCCCATCTGTGGGTGGACCCCATCTATGGGTGGACCCCATCTGTGGGTGGACCCCATCTATGGGGACCCCATCTATGGATGGACCCATCTGTGGGCTGGTCTTTCAGAGCCTTACCCGTCCTTTCTCCACACACTGCGTCACCATGACGACGTTGTAGACGCTGTGCTCCCACACCATCCTCCAGAAGTCGTCCTTGGTCCCTGGCAGCGGGCCCTGGGTGGCGATGTACTCCCGCCGGTAGTTGTTCCCCTGAGGAAAAGCAGAGGCTCAGCGAGGGGCAGCGGTGTGCGTCTCCCTGCAGATGTGAGCGTACACGTACAGGTATGTAGCTGGCGTTGATGTAGTCTGAGCAGGGATCGTCCTCCAGGTAGGACAGCTTCACTCTGGTGGAGTCATCTGCAGAAGGAAACACACATGAGCCACTCCAATGGTAACAAGTGGGATCATCCATCTATTATGATAAGACACACAAGGACCAACAACCACACACACTCACACTAAGGGCAGTTTGGAGTCCATCCAACCTAACATGCAGGTTTTTGGACGGTGGGAGGAAGCCGGAGAACCCGGAGAGAACCCACAGACACAGGAGAACATGCAGACTCCACCCAGAAAGGTCCTGGTTCCCCCGGGACTCCAACCCAGAACCCTCTGGCTATAAAGCGACAGTGCTAACCACCGTGCTGCCAAATGTGATAATTTTAAGGAAATTAAAAGCAGTAAGAGGGGCCTAACGCTCAACTTTCCTCTTGGAGAGAGGCCTAGATAGAGCTACTCTAGACTCTGTCCCCCTAAATGTTCTGTTTCTGTCCCCACTCACATGGCAGGATGTTGTTGTAGCGGTTCTTTCCTCGGTTCTCGGGCAGTCTGGCCGTGTCCATGGTCTGGTTTCGGCCCACGTCCTTCAGGTCCTGCACACACAGAAAGCATCAGCACCCCCTCTCAGACGACTCACGCTGCACGTCTTTGAAGGTCCAAACCCACCTCAAACTCCTCTGACAGCAAGTAGTTGGAGTCGGCTTGCAGTTTTCCCAGATGGGACTCGAAGTGGC